TTATTTTAAAATGAAATGTATATATTGATTTTTTAACAAACATCCTATTGTCCAATCAAAATTAAGAGTTTTTTGATTTTAAAACAAATCTTCCACATATACAGCCTATTTAGTTCTGTGGGTGGTGTTTTCTTTTTCTTCCATATTTTTTTATTGGTGCATTATAGTTGTACATAATGATGGGGATTTGTCATTATGTATTTGCACATGTACACAATTTAACAATAGAGTTTGGCCAGTATCACTCCCCAACACTTAACCTGCTCCTTCCYTGTGGTTGGTATTTTCATGTAAATGACTAGTGGTCCCATTTTAATGCTCTTGCTGTATGGATGTGGTATGTTAAGCTCCTTTAAGAATCTCCCTTTTAGGGCTGGGGTTGTGGCTCACTTGTAGAGTGCTTACCTAGCACACGTGAGGCACTGGGTTTGATCCCAGAACCACATTAAACACACACACACACACAAAAAAAAAACCCACAAAACTAAATAAAATAAAGGTATTGTGTCCATCTACAACTAAAAATTTTTTAAAAAGAATCTCCCTTTTAAAACTTCAAAGTTAATACTTTTGTGCAACTGTGTTTTTTAATAAACCCATGACTGTTAAAAACAAAAAAAGCAGTATTCCTGATCATTCTTTTTTTTTTTTTAATTTTAAGTTGTTGATGGACTTTTATTTATTTATATGTGGTGCTGAGGATCGAACCCAGTGCCTCCCACATGCTAGGCAAGTGCTCTACCACTGAGCCACCACCCCACCCTCCTGATCATTCTTTTATTGTTTCTGACTCTGCCTTGTTTTTTTTCTGTGCCTGCTATAATTTAAAGTCTTTGAAACTGAATTGCTTCAAATAAATTGAAAATTTGTTATAATGGGGAAAAAAGAAAAAGAAAGGAAAGTAGATTCTCTAGCAAGCTTTGACCTTTGGTCTATGGAATTCTTTCTCCAAAAGGATGGTCTGCCTGAGTAATTCCCCTGTTAGTCCATCCAGAAATAAATACTGTGGTGAGAACATTTTACTAACTAGGAAATTCTTGATTTTTCATGTGTAGTTTATTCCTAGTGAGATTTTCCTTACAAATTTTTGATGTCTTCTCCAACTATCATTTTGTGTTCCCTTAAAGATTATAGTTTAAATACTCGAGCAAAAAATACTTAACCTTTTCATAAATTTGTCTCATGAAAGATATTTCTGTGTAAAAGATTGATGATTCTGAGTTACATATTTGCTAGTCTTTCTTATGCCCTTGAGGTTTGTAGGACCCCTGTGTGTCAGGGTTGAGACAGACTATTCTCTTGAGGCAGCTGACAACACATCTGTTTTCTTGAGAAAGCTGATTTTACCCGCCTCTGTGWCTGTATCCCAATGTCTTTTCCTCCACCTTTGGTCGTTCTTATCTTGGTCGATCTTTCTTATTAATTTTCACTTAATCATGTAACTGCTGGAGTGACTTAAATAGGCCCATTTCCCAGGAAAAYTTAATTTTTCTTTGCCCATAGTTTCAAGATGAGATGGGATTCTCCAACATGGAAGATGATGGCCCAGAGGAGGAAGAACGAGTGGCTGAGTCTCGTCCTAACTTCAATACCCCTCAAGCCCTACGGTAGGCTAGCCAAGGACCTTGAGGCTTAAGAGTGGAGAAAAAGTCTATTTCTGAAAAAGTTTTTAGAAAATTACAATTAACAGTTTCCCCATCTTCAACTACCACATGTTACTTTTATAAGCATGCAGAGTCCTGTGGGAAATTAGGTGTGAAGTAAAAAGTCTCCTTGTTATGGGGCAGTGCAGCTACAGTGCAAGCTGTAYCTGTTTGGGAAGGGAGAGAAAACAGTAGCTGGCATTCAGAGCAACCTTTCCAGGTGAGTGGTACTGGAGAGGTGTGAAGGACTCTGTGTGGCCAGCCACAGAAATTATCCTAAATTATAATATTCAGTGTGTCCCTTTTGTTTTCTTTATTTGCCATTAATATCTAGTAGATGTTATTAAAAATTATTAGTCAMCTACACATTGATTGAGCAAACCATGAAGCACTTGCAATAATGTCCTAGGAGCCTGAAACACATGTWTTGACCTTTTCACATGAAGTTGGTGTTTCTTTTCTTTTCGGAACAGAGGTGCTTTTAAACTTTGAAGCAGGGTATCTTTAAGTTGCTTGAGGGTCTTGCTAAGTTGCCGAGCCTGGTCTTGTACTTGCCAGTCGTCCTCCCTCAGCCTCCTGGGTCTCTGGGATTGTAGGCATGTGCTGTTGTGCCAGTGAAGTTGGCATTTCTTAAACCCAGAAAATGATTTTGTAATAGTTTTGAATCTATACTTTAATCTATTGTTGTCCATTGTGAGTAGCAGCATACAATTATTAGGTGGATGGCTAAAGGCTAGGATGCAGTGTGTACCATGGGTGGAGCACAGCAAAAGCTAGCAGACCTCTCATTTGTCCAGTGTTGGTTTGTTTTTTGGTACCAGGGATTGAACTCAGGGGCACTTGACCACTTAGGCATATCCCCTGACCTATTTTGTATTTTATTTAGAGACGGGATCTCACTGAGTTGCTTAGTGCCTTCCCATTGCTGAGGCTGGCTTTGAACTCAGGATCCTCCTTTGTCAGCCTCCCAAGCCCTGGGATTATAGGTATGCACCACTGTGCCAGCTGTCCTGTGTTTTTTTTTTTTTAATTTATTATTTTTTAAAAAACATTTTGGTTGTTGTAAATGGACAGATCACCTTTATTTTATTTGTATGTGATGCTAAGGATGGAACCCAGAACCTTACACGTGAGAGGCAAGCGCTCTGCCACTGAGCTATAGACCCAGCCCTTTAATTTATTTTTTAGTTGTAATGGACACAATATCTTTATTTTTATGTGGTGCTGAGGATTGAACCCATTGCCTCACATGTGTGAAGCAAGTTCTCTACCACTGAGTTATAGCCCCAGCCCCTGTCCTGTGGTTTCACTTAACAATATTACCTTAGTAAAAAGCCTGGGATTCCTCTGAAAGCTACGCCTTCATAAACATTTCAATTTAGTGGAAGAGACAAGATATAGTAATCAGTATWTAAAATCATATGTTTTAATAATATTCTTTCTACTTTATTCAAGAAGGGCTTTGACTTTTTAAGAAGAGAAGGCTAGGAAGCCTTATGGAGAGGTACATGGGAGAAGCTAGACCTAAGATGGGAGTAGTAGGTAAATTAGAGAACAAATGCTGTTCATTTGGAAGATTCTGTATCACTGTTAGATCAACTCACAGAGTAATATGGATGTGTCAGTATAATGCAAGAATAATGAGTGACCACAGCCTCTTTGCTGTTTTGTTGTTCCTATTTTTCTTTCCTTGCTTGTTTAATTTCCTCTCCATTTGTATACTACTTAGAGGAGTAATTGTAGAAAAATATGATGGGGACACAATTCATAATCATTTTATGTATTTAGAAAGTTTTATACATGTGGTGCTRGAGATCAAACCCAGAGCTTCAACCATGCTAGGCAAGCTGTCTGTCACCGAGCTGTATTCCCAGCCCCAGAATCATCTTACTGAATCTGTGTAACAGTATTGGGAGTTTGATGTCTAAAGTGGGATTTGAGGATTAGCAGTAAGTAGACATTTTCCAGGTTGTTTTAGCATACTGTTAGGAGGAACTGAATGTTTTGATGACCTAGAGAAATATTTAAATAAATCATCTCCCTTTTGGGGATAGTTTTGAGGAACCACTAGCCAACCTGCTAAATGAACAACATCGGACAGTGAAGGAGCTACTTGAACAACTGAAGATGAAGAAATCTTCAGCCAAACAGCAACAGGAGGTGGAGAGGCTTAARCCTCAGAGTGAGAAAGTTCATCAGACTCTGATTCTAGACTCTGCACAAAGGAAGAGACTCCAACAGCAGATGCAGCAGGTAACACTCTTCTTGGTCATGTGATTTTTGGATTATCTCATGGTCTGACACGGAAGCCCCAAATGAGCAACACTGTAAAAGTCAGAGATGGCTGTCTTACTACCCATTGAAACTGGGGAGCATCTCATCTTCACATCACTTAGGATTTTGGAGAGATCCTCATGTTCATTCCTAGATGGCTCAGGCAAGAATGAACATAAGGATCCTGATAATATTCAGAACTGGAGATTACAAAGAATCTTTAAACCATTCTGAAATTTAATAGCCTTCAATATCAGACATTGTTTTTTCTTCTTTCTGATCTCAGTCCCTCTGGTTTGAGGTTAAATTTTCTCTGGTTCTATCATTTTGCTCAAGGGAATATGTCTGAGAAATTCATGCCAAGATCCTGCATTGTTCTTCATATTTTCTCCAGAAAGCAAAATATGTGTGATAAATTTGTAACATCTTGGTAAGGTCTCCTTGTGTTCCTGAAATGGTAACATCATAACATGTCAATGTTTTATTTTCTTTTCCCTCCCCAGCATGTTCAGCTTTTGACCCAAATCCACCTTCTCGCTATCTCCAACCCCAACCTCAGTTTGGAGGCCAGTACCACCAGGATATTTCTTGTAAGGTTCCAGATATTTCTAACTCTAAAGACTTGAGTGTAAAATTAGCTTGGCAAGTCATTTCTCATGTTATTCACTGATTATAATCTACATTTGTTCTTCTTTTCTGCATGTCTTTGGTTGCTATTCCTACTCTGTCCTGCAGCTTCCTATTTGCTTACAGAACATAAGCCATTGATTCCAGGGAAATGATAGATGTGTATTCAATTTTCTTAATGTGTATTCAATTTCCTTATCTTTGGATCTATCCTGACTTCTTATTTATTTAGATACTGATATATTTATAGATGTTGAAATAATTGTTCATTTGTTAGGCTCAATATCAGTGCTTTATGTATAGAATTAATTTTGCTTGTGATACTTTAAAGTATTTTGGAGAAATTTTCTGAAATTTTGGATAGATAATGATGATATTCTCTGCTCCTTGGATAAACCTCTTTGGGATTTGAGTAGTATATTTGCTAGTGCTCCAAGGTCCCTTGGTGGTCCAGCAGGGTGTATTCACCTCTGTGTTCAGAAGATCATGAGGAGAATTTTTTTTTTTTTAAGGTGATACTCAGAGAAACCAAAAGATTTTAAAAAATAAATAAAAATAATGACCTTTAATTTTAAGAGTCTTAATTCTGCCTTGGTAATTAGACCATACATTGACAAGTCCGCTGAACATATAATCTGAGAATAAAACATGAACAAATCAAGTATTTGTTACACAATCCCTTAGTATCTGAGAATTCAGCAAAAGAGAAGTCTTCTGGCACATGCCTGTCATCCYAGTGGCTTGGGAGGCTTAGGCTGGAGGACTGTGAGTTCAAAGCTATCCTCAGCAATTTAGCAAGGTCCTAATCAACTAAGACTCTGACTCTAAATTAAAAACAAAAAATGGGTGGGATGGCCTGGAGATGTGGCTCAGTGGTTAAGTGCCCTTGGTTTCAATCCCAGGTACCAAAAAAAAAAAAAAAAAAAGAGAGAGAGAGAATTCTTCATGGAATAATATTAATTATGAAAGAGTTTATAATTTCTACCTGTTTTTATTCTGAAGTAGGAGGGACAGTTTATCATTCAAAGGCCAAGGGCTGCTGGTATTAATTGTCAGGAATTTCTTATGTTCTTCTTTATGTTCTGTCTTCCCAGAAAGAGCTGGGAACCTTTGCTCAAAGCTCCATTGCCCTTCATCATCAGTTCAACCCCAAGTTTCAGACCTTGTTTCAACCCTGTAACTTAATGGGAGCTATGCAGCTCATTGAAGACTTCAACACACATGTCAGCATTGACTGGAGCCCTCGTAAAACTGTCAAGAAGACTGGTAGGGGACAAATATGTCAACTTCAAGTTTTTATTTGCAACAAAAGATGGGAGCCTTAAATAATTTCCTAGGGATAATTTCCTAGGAGGGAGGACACAGAATACATATAATTTCTTTCTTTTCTCTTTTATCCTTCCTTTGCAGTCTATCTGTATTGTAGAGTTACATAAGATTTGTGCTTTGTTAAGGCATGGAGTCAGTGGAAAGAATAGGAGTAGAAATGTGGGACTCTGCTAATAAGTGGACTTGAATGATATGTAGGTATTAGTTATCCCGTCTAGAAAATTAGGATCTGGTAAAGATGTAAGTCAAGTGGTGAAATTTGTCCATGTTAAGATTTTTATTTTCTTCCTCATAAGACCATATTATTTTATTTCCCATAATGATTATAGAGAGAAGGTAATATCCTCATTTTGAATGAAATGCTGATAGGGCAGTTAGATCCCAAGTTAGAGATGTTGTACATTTGCCATGTTCAATATTTTGAAGAAATTTTCAGGTTTAGTTTCTATCTTGTGTAGGTTTAAAATTTTTTAAGAAAATATTTTCTTGGTTCCCTAACACCAAATATTTGCTTCTTATTTGTTTTCTGATTTAGCAAATTATTTGTGTGTTGTTGTGGATTTGGGGTTGTGTATGGATTTGATTTTAAATCCCCATCTTCCTGGGTGTGGTGGCACATACCTGTAATCCCAGTGACTTGGAAGGCTGAAGCAGGAGAACTCCAAGTTCAAGGCCTGGTTAARGAATTTAGTGAGGCACTGTCTCAAAAAAAAATGAAAATAAAATAAATATATCCATGAGTTTTATAGTAACTGAATATAGTTAAATTTAAATATGGCACTGATGCCAACCTGCTTTCATAGCTGTATTTTGGTAATGAAAACTTGACTAAATAGCAGACATAGTAATAATTTTTACACCTAGTGTTCTGTGTTTTTATTGGTGATTTAAAAATAACAGTTTTGGAAGAAGTATTGAAAAGGGATAATCAACCTCTCCTTCTGTAGTTGGTGGTGAGATTAGACCCCTTGGCTGTAGCTGTAGCTGTTTGCTACAAGTGGTACCCTCACCATAGTGACTGGTCTCAGCTGACAGGACAGATTCTTGGGTGTTGGCGAGTTGGACCTGTGTTCCAGTTCTCTAGCATCACAGCAAACCCAGGCCACCTGCCAATGACTTTTAGGTTTTTGTCTTATGGACAGTTGAGGGTGGGAGTGAAAGAGTAGGATTTATTCCAGCAAGAAGAGAAACAGAGGTCTTGCCAGGCGAGAGGGGACCTGATAGCAGGTTTCCATCCAGGTGTGCTAGTCTAGGGGTTAATATAGCTAGCAGGTAGGGTCATTGATTACTGTCTAGGGCTAAATAGGTATTTTTATTTGATAAAAATAAAAGTTATAAACAGTTATTAGAAGAGTGCTAATTAAGGATGTTGATTTGGCCCATGACCTCCTGATTAGTTGTGCCCTCCTAGCCCTTGAGTCTATAGCCTTCACTCAGGTCTGGCCCATTCTAATTTTCCCACCACTCCAGAACAAAGCAGTCAGCTGGAATGTTTGGAATATTTATACAGGTTAATTTTAGGGAGTGACTTTTACATTTAGAAAAGGCTTTATGGGGCTCATTGCCCTGACTGCCTGTTTTACGGTCTAAGTGCAAATATAATAGTTTCTGTCTCTGGAAAGTCAGAGACTGCCTGTTTTACGGTCTAAGTGCAAATATAATAGTTTCTGTCTCTGGAAAGTCAGAGGTACCTGAAATTAAGAGGCTAAGATAGGAAGACAGAAACGAATGAGACGGAATTGTCTCATTCCTTTTATGGTTTTTTTGTTCCCAACTTCAGGAGGAATCTGGGAGAACTTAATGAAAGTTAAGTAAGAATCAAATAAAAATAAAATTTGGAATACCAGATTTGTGAGGGAGATAAAAGAAGTTGGAATCTTATCCTGGAAGAAAGAAAGCATTGTTGAAGGTCTCTTATCTTTCAAGGATTTAAAGGGGGAAGGAGGTAAAATTTTTTTGAGTATCCACTATGTGCCAGGTATTACTAGATGCTTTGTGTTTATGTTACTTAGTGTGTTAAGTATCCCACATAGGAAAGAAAGAATCAACTTTTTATTGACTTTGGGACTTCCCTTAGGTGTATATTAGGTCRAGAAAAACTGGACACATTTTGGTGAGGGAAGGAGGGTGGGAGGGGACCAAGTCAGATAAGGGCAGCTCTACCTAAATACGAACATGCATTCATAAGCTTTTTTGAAGTCCTCTTTAGTCCAAGAATTCTATTTATCACAGGTGTTTTTTTCTTGTAGCCTGTGAATTGCCCTGTCTGCCCAAGCAAGTGGCCTGGGTCCTGGCCACAAGTAAGGTTTTCATGTATCCAGAGCTACTTCCAGTATGTTCCTTGAAGGCAAAGAATCCTCAGGATAAGATCATCTTCACCAAGGCTGAGGACAAGTAAGTGTTTACTGTGGGGCTTCAGAAGAGCCAACTATTTTTTTTTTAATTTTTTTTTTTTTTAAGAGAGAGTGAGAGAGGAGAGAGAGAGAGATGAGAGAGAGAGAGAGAGAGAGAGAGAGAGAGAGAGAGAGAGAGAGAGAGAATTTTTTTTTTTAATATTTATTTTTTAGTTCTCGGCGGACACAACATCTTTGTTGGTATGTGGTGCTGAGGATCGAACCCAGGCCGCACGCATGCCAGGCGAGCGTGCTACCGCTTGAGCCACATCCCCAGCCCATCAAAGTCGTCTTAGCAAAGGCCAGGTGATAAGCAATTCAGTGAGACTCAGTCTCTAAATAAAATACAGAATAGAGCTGCAGATGTGCCTCAGTGGTCAAGTGCCCCTGAGTGCAATCCCTGGTAACTTCCTAAAAAAGTTGCCCAGGCTGGACCTAAACTGCTGGGCTCATGTGATCCTCCTTTCTCAACCTTCTGAGTAGGTGGGACAGTAGGCCCACACCACTGTGCCTGGCTTATTAATGCTTTATGCATTATTTCTCCTTTTCATACTTACTTGTGAAAACTCCTGTTTGATTCTTTTGCAAAAGCTCTCCACCCCTACTCCTGTCCCGCTCTTTTTTTGTGTTGCTAGAAATTGATCCCAGCACTTAACACATACCATGCAGGCATTCTACCGTTGAGTTTATTGTTTTTTGGGGGGGGTACCAGGGATTGAACTCAGGGGCATTTGGCCACTGAGCTACATCCATAGCTCTATTTTGTATTTTTATTTATAGACAAGGTCTCACTGAGTTGCTTAGCACCTCGTTGCTGAGGCTGGCTTTGAACTCTCAATCTTTCCTACATCAGCCTTCTGAGCTGCTGGGATCACAGGTGTGTGCCCCCGAGCTCAGCTCAACCATTGAGTTTCATCCCCAGCCCTTTTGTTTGGTCTTACTCTCAGTTTTTAATTATTATTTTTTTTTTTCGGGAGGAAGAGGTACTAGGGATTGAAACCAAGGGATCTTTACCACTTAGCTACTTTCCAGCCCTATTTATTTTTTATTTTGAGACAAGGTCTCACTAAGTTGCTGAGACTGGCCTTGGATTTGTTTCTCCTGAGTTCCTTGGGTTAGAGGCATGTGCCACTGTTCCCAGCTTACTCATAGTTCTTAGAGCTTTCTAAATAGCTGAACTTTTATATAGAGTAGCCATCAACATGTATAAGAATTAGATGTAAAGAAGAGGACTGTAAATTGGATACAATGGCACATGGCTATACTTGCGGTGACTTGAGAGGTTAAAGCAAGGAGGTTAAAGCCAGCCTCAGCACCTTATTGAGACCTTGTCTCAAAAAATAAAAAGGGCTAGGAATGTAGTTCAATGGTGCACTTGTAATGCATCCTTGTGTTCAATCCCTAGTACTGGAAAGCAGAAGGAAGAAAACGTAAAAAAGTGGATTGTAAAATGTATGGAGTCGTCTGGGRAGGGTTTTTAGAAGAAAGGACTGCAAGGTGAGATTTAGCCTCATTGTACCTTTCTCAGTTTGTTAGCTTTAGGATTGAAGCATTTTGAAGGGACTGAGTCTCCAAAGCCTCTAATCAGCAAGTACCTAATAACCTGCAAGACTGCCCACCAGCTGACAGTGAGAATCAAGAACCTCAACTTGAACAAAGCTCCCGACAACATCATTAAAGTGAGTGCTTCCAGAAAGCTCCATCCACTACCTCACCTGTGTCTATCCTTCTCTCTTTTTAAAAGAGGGACCTTCTTATATGTAGGACTAATTCTTCCCACGTATACACTAGATTAATTCCCTTTTTGCCCTTTTGGGGGCATTMATCCATTATTTTCCTGTGGAATACCTTCAATATTCTTATGGATATTTCCCTTAAGTATGAAGATATTCAAGTCTTAAAAGATTTCACAAATCCTTGACTCCTTCTGGCCAGTCTCTGTTTCTTTCTTTCTTTTTTTTTTTAAGAGAGAGAGAGAGAATTTTAATATTTATTTTTTAGTTTTCGGTGGACACAACATCTTTCTTTATATGTGGTGCTGAGGATCGAACCCAGGCTGCACACATGCCAGGCGAGCGCGCTACCACTTGAGCCACATTCCCAGCCTAGTCTCTGTTTCTTTTACTTTAACCTTATAAATGTAGAAAATATTCCACTTATATTCTTCCCCTTACTCCGCATTTTTATTTAGATATTTATACCAAACTTCTGTATATATCAAAGGTCAAATATTTAAATGATTTAAGAGTGTTCTATGAAGCTTGTTATGGAGAACAAAAAAGATTTTTCTTCTGCTAACCAGCATTTTTTGGGGGAGGAATGGTATTTATCTCCACATATAATCTAGGTAGCAAGCTAATAATTGTCACTTTTTTTTTTTTTTAAGTCTCTGAGACATTTTTATTTCCAATCAAAATTTCTAGATCGGGGTTGGTGGGGCTGTAGTTCTGTGGCYGAGTGCTTGCCTAACATATGAGAAGCACTGGGTTCAATCCTTAGTACCACCTAAAAATAAACAAACAAAATAAAGGTGTTCTGTCCATTTACAACTACAAAAAAAAAAATTAAATTTTCAGATCAGAGAAATAGTCTCCTTTAGGCCAATCCAGGACACAGTTATATTGAAGGTCAAAAACTCTTCTATGGTGTGTATCATTATATTGCTTCAAATACATAAACAATGTTTAGGACAATTGATTATTTAATAGTAATCAAATTTTTTTCTCAACTTCTATGATTTATCTCTTTTTAAAAAAATTTTATTTGTTCTTTTTAKTAGAGTGTAGAGTATATTTTGACATATTATACATGCATAGAGTATAACTTCCTATTCTTGTGGTTGTACATGATGTGGAGTTACACTGGTCATGTATTCATATATGAACATAGGAAAGTTATGTCTGATTCATTGTACTATCTTTCCTATGCCCATCTCCTCTCCCTTCCCTTCATTCCCCTTGTCTAATCCAATGAACTTCTATTCTTCCTTCCACTCCCATTTTAATTCTTTGTTTTGGATTATTTTTAGTTATACATGAAGGTAGAGTATATTTTGAAATATTATACATCCATGGAGTATAACTTCCTATTCTTGTGGTTTTGCATGATTTGGAGCTACACTGGTCGTGAATTCATATATGATCATAGGAGATTTATGTCTGAATCCATCTACTGTCTTTCCTATTCCTGTCCCCCATTCCCACAGTCTAATCCGGTGAACCTCCCCTGCCCCCCACCCCCACATTTGTGAGTCAGCATCCGCGTATCAGAGAGAACATTTGGCCTTTGGTTTTTTGGGATTTGGTTTTTTGGGATTGGCATTTGCTCATAAATGGATAGAACTGGAGGCTTCTTTATTGCTAATAGTCCATTGTATATATGTACCACATTTTCTTTATCCATTCTTCTATTGAAGGGCACCTAGGTTGGTTCCATAGCTTAGCTATTTTGAATTGAGCTACTGTGAACATTGATGTCGCTGATCACGGTAGTGTGCTGATTTTAAGTTCTTTGGGTTTATGCCGAGAAGTGGGATAACTGGGTCAGATGGTGGTTCCATTCCAAGTTTTCTGAGGAATCTTCATACTGTTTTCCAGGGTGGTTGCACCAGTTTGCAATCCCACCAGCAATGTATAAGTATACCTTTTCCCCCACATCCTTGCCAATATTTATTGTTACTTGTATTATAGATAATAACCATTCTGACT